AACATCATTAAAATACATACTTTTTCTTTCTTCAGAGAGATTTTTGCTATAGGGCAGAGCACTTGCCAGAGAGACAGAAAGTGAGAAATCATCCCCTCCCCCCCCAGGGGGATGGCCATGCTGAAGTCCCTTCTCCTCCATTCTCCTCTTGGGATTTTGGGCACACATGCAAATGCACCTAGCGTGAGTTTTAAGCCTCTGAGTCCAGGACTCAAACTGGTGTCAACTACATGGGAGTCCAGCAATGTAACCATAATGCCATCTGCTGGTCCCTGTTCCATACTTATTTTTTAACTATCTTTTTATTCATGATTTCTTTTTTTCCCCAATGATATCTCTTTTTTTTACACTTAATCACTACATGTCATTAGAACATACAAAATGAAATTTCCAGCATGAATACACTATACTGTGGATACTGGAGATGGTTAGAGGGGGGTGGGAAATGGGAGAGGGTGAGAGAGAGGGATTCAAAGAGAAAAAGAAAGCTGCAAAACATTTAATAACACAAAATGGAAAAGTATCTGTTGATGATAATGTGAATGATAATATATGTGACAGGACTAAAATACATACTTCTAACCCTAAACTTCCAGAAAGAAGAAAATCCTGTAATCAAAATCACTTGCTGTCATTTGACTTCTCCCTCCTACTCCCTCCACCCACCCCTCCACCACCAACCCCTACTCCCACACAAAATATGTGTGTTAAGGTTTGATTACAACAAGATTAAGAGGGTGAAAACTTAATGCAGCTATACTGTTGAGAGGTGGAGCCTTTGGGCGGAGATTAGTATTCAGGTTATCAGGGTGGGACTCCCATGATTAACTCCTGGTGGGCTTATGATGAGTGGGAATGAGACCACACAGGGACATGCAGGCACCAGCATGTGCTCCTGCCCTCCATGGTGTTGTGGCCCCTCAACCTTGAACATCCAAACAATAAGCTGAATAAATCTCTGTTCTTCCTAAAATTTTATTCGTCATAGAGCATGAATGTGTGCATGAGAGATAGAGACAAAGAGAAACTAGCACCTTCCAGAGGGCCCGGTGATGCCACCATGATCCCCCTTCCTCCATTCCTCTAGTTCTTCAAGATCCAGGGCATATGTCTGCATGCCTCATGTGTTTTCAGGCTGAGTGGGCCAGGGATTTGACCCACAGTCATTATGTGGCTTCCATCCACCATCTGGTATACCACCACCTGTGCCACAGAGGCCAGATGACATATTCTTATAAATCTCTGAGTTTCAAGTATTTTCTGTTATTGGCAACAGAACAAACTAGAGCAACCACTTTCATCATTTGTTCAAGAAGGGACAGTTTTCTCAACAGAAATGTTCTGTGGCCAAAACAAAGGCTCTGTTTCTTCAGTTTACTGTTTTTCAGAGTCTAGATATCATGATGTTCTCTCTCCCTAGTCTCAATTCCTAACATGCTATTTTTCTTACCCAGCTTCTCTCTGAGAGAGAGATGCATTTGGTACACCAATTATATTTTCCCAAGTGTCTCTATAAGAAGCCAAGTCAATTTTCAAAGAAATTCCATTAATTTTGAGCAGCATCTCAGAGACACCACTAATTGTCATGGCTAAGCCTACAAATTCTGATGCATTATTTCGGAAATTAACGTGAATGTCGCCAGTGACTGCTCTGACACCCAGTTCAAATTAAGCCAAGCAAGTAGTATCACATCTCGCATCATAATCATGAGAAAGGCTCTCAACCAGAATTCAAGAAAGGTTCATTTATAACGAATAGTGTCATCCAATCATTCTACTAGTTATACTAGGAGCTTTTTCTATTCAAAAGAAACTAAATTCTCTCTGAATGTCAAAATGTATAGCATATCAAAAAGCAGGGCTAGTTTTGAAATAAAATTATTATTCTAGAATTTAATTACCTATTTTTTCTTTATTGAGAGAGAGGGCGAGGAAGAGGAAGAAGGAAAGGAAGAGAGACAGAGGTAGCATTTTTCACAGAGTCATGCAGTGTTGCAGTCCTCCTGCCCCAGCCTCCAATGAGCTAGGATTATAGGTGTGTACAACTGTTCTCAGAGTGTTGAAGTAGACCCAAAAACTGAACCCAGGCCTCTTGTGTAGTTTCCAGCCTCCTAAGAAGTAATACTACCTGTATACCATTGTAGCTTGGCCTGAACTTACTCATTTGATTACAAGCTAAACTTGTTCATCAACAAATATTACCTCTAGGTGTTTTGCAAGGAGCTGGAGATAGAAAAGCATTAGATACACACGCCCTCCCTCACTGTCATGGAGTTGAGCCTTGTTTAGGCCTATTGTCCCCTAGCCCGCAAACTAGTTTTTAAAGAGATCTCTGCCTCTTAGGATAATAAACAAGACAAGGGGCCCAAAGACCCCACAGGATGGAGAAATGAAGAAGAAGGTATCATGGTGTGACCATACCCCCTGGGGGGGGGGTACTTTCTTCTTCTTCTTCTACCTCTCTGTCTCTCTGTGGTGAGTGCATATGACCTCTGACAATTTTTTGGTTTTTAGTAAAATGTGCTAATCTGCCAACCTCATTGCTCAGCAGTTAAGGTTGTCCGATCCTACACATCTGACTGCAGTTCAAATTCTGGCCATTGCAGCCTAAAGAATACACTGGGTGTGTGTGTGCACATGTACCTAAAATTTTGACAAGAAGGAGAAATGGAGGAAAAACGATTGAGGTGTGACTCTGCCCCATTTGAAGTGAATGGGGTGCCTCTCTTTCTAGTGAGTGCATGTACCCTCTGTTAATTAAAAAAAAAATGTTCATTTGAGAGAGCTAAAAATCATAGGAAAGCCCTTGAGTTTTAATTTTTAAACAATAGCAAAAGAGAGCTGAACATTACCAAATATCCTTGGTGCTACTAAAATAATTAGTTTTATACAAATTTGGACTATGGTTGTGTGGCGCATTTATTGTGTTAATAGGTTTTCTGATAGTAGTCCCCTTCCCAAAGAGTAAGTACTGCTATACTATGGAGTATTATCATTATATTCTAATGAATTATTAAATTTTGTTCCCTTGTAATGTTTTGGGGACTGTAACATATGTGTTCATTATGCATTGTTCTTTAGAGAAACTAGTATGGCAGGGTTAAAGACATACTCTGTTCTCATTTCCATTCATTTAGTCTATTAGTATAAATTATTAAAATTTGGTTTGGAGAACTAATTTATATCTGTTTTCATTCTCTTTTCTTTTTTTTAAACCTCTAATCTCAACTCTGCTAAGTGTTTCTTCTCTTTGAGAATTCACAAAGTACATTTTCTTTTTTTTACAAAGGCCCCTCTCAAAGCACTCATACTTTCTATCATACTTTCTTATATTAAAGTTAACTACGTATTGACTTTTGGTCCTTGTGCAAGTAGTCAGTATCTTAAATTTGAGAATTTTTCATCCCTCTCCCTTAGCCACCAAGTGTTGTCCACTGAGCTTCTCCTGTAGAAGCAGAGTGTCCTGGCCAAGTGCCTCAGGGGCAGATGTGGATAATGCACTCAGATGAGTGTCTTTGTGAACACTCTTAGGTCTCCAAACCAGTTCTTTGGTAAACTGAGGAAGAGAGGAGAAAAATAAAGGAGCTTCCAAAATATGTGGGTGTTGTGCTTGTCTGTGTCAGCAATATTGACATGAGTCAACCTCCAAGAGCTTAGGAGCAGGCAGAGGCAGGGACCAGAACAAAGCACTAGACCAGTCTTCCTGTATCTGCTCTAGATGGTTGCTCCATTCAGGTTCTGGTTATGGATTACCAAGAGAACCCATTACTTCAAATGCTTCTCCCTAATTTAAGCACATATTTCTGCACACTCTTAAAACTAAATACATTCATTACAATTGTTGTTATTAATAAAAATAAACCTTCTAATATTCATTTCAGGGCATCACTTCAAAACGATGTCTTTCAATTGTCAATTCTGTCCCAGGGGACCCTTACAGAATGAGGACCCTCTACTGTCTGCCCTACTAGACAGAAGCCTAGATCTCACTCATATTCTGTCACTGAGTTTTGCACTGTGGTAGGCATATGGTTTGTACTTAACTCTTGTTCTGGAGTTAATCCTTTCTATTGCAATGTTAATGAATGGTATTCTTCACACTTATCTAAAGCCCACCAACATTTAAAAGACCACACAAACCTCTTTAAAGAGTTAGATGTGAAATAAATAATGACCAAAATATTAGTGAAAGAAATTATGACAAAAGTGAAGGGGAAACCATATGATCTAACAATTTCACTTCTGTGTATATAACCAAAAGTTATATATAAGATAGATTTGTAAACCCATGTTCAAAGCAGCTTATTTACAATAGCCAAAGATGGAAGCAACCCAAATGTCTACTGGTAGATAAATGAATAAACAAAATGTGGTATGTGTGTGTGTCTGTCTGTATGTATGTGTGTGTGATTATTCAGCCTTAAAAAGGGAGGAAATTCTGACACATGACTTGTAGAAATTATGCTAACTGAAATGAACCAATTACTAAGGAACTGATTCTACTCATATGAGGTTCTTAGAGTAGTCAAATTCATAGAGTCTGAAGTTAGAATGGTGGTTGTTGGAGACAAGAGGAACAGAAGAAGAAGAATTGGTGTTTCATGGATTCAGTTTTAATTTTGCTAGATGAAAAAAGTTCTGGAAATGGATGTTGATGAGGGTTGTACAATAACCCTGGTGGCATTAAGTAATGCCACCAAACTGTGTACTTGGAAATGCTTAAGGTGGTAAATTTTATGCCATATGCATTTCATCACAATTTTTTAGAAAGATAATAGGGAAGTGAACACGATTTGATCTAGAATCAATGTGAAAGCCATGCTGCCAGGGCAGCACTTCACAAGATAACTCTTCTAAGTATCTGGTCAGCTTTTAGACCCTCCTTCCAGGGAGGGAGTAATTGGAATATATCATTGACCTCATTCTACTATACAGTGACTATAGTTCTTTTCAAAGCAAGTGAAATGCTATGTTCAAAATTACTTTCTTCTTTTCTATAGGTTGCTAAATACCACATTATTTGAAAGTTGGGAGATCATTGGACCTTTCCCTTCCTGGTGGGTTTTTAACCTACTGTTATTGATAATACAAGGACTGAGCTGTATCTGGTCTTACTGGATTGTAAAAATAGCTTGCAGAGCTATTTCAAAAGGCAAGGTAAGTTGAAACTCCCTCTTTGCAATATATTCCAGAAAATTTCATGTGTTAGGTTCCTCTGAAACAACTACCTGTTTATTATTTCAGGTTTCATCAAAACTTATTTTATTTCTTCAAAATTGAACAAAACTACAGAAATCAAATTTTCATTTTCTTTTCCTTAGTTCACTTTTTAAAGTCTTGCTGATGATTCCCCATGATCTGCATTTATAATTTTAGGTTAAATGATGATATAGCATTTGTTGTATTTGTTCTCTCTCACTCTCTGTCTCTCTTGATACCTCTTTGATTGTATTTATATTGAACAGAAGTTTAGTAAACTAATTCTTTACTTTTAGAGAGGTTAGCTTGGTACATCATGCCCATGTAATACAAACTTTTTTCTCAAATTAAACAGTAAACTCATTCATGACTTTTCCAGAAATTTAATTAGATCTTGTTGTTTAAAAATAGACCTAAGGCCAGTAGGTAGGATGATGATTAAGGCACTGGATTCCCACATGGCCAACCGTGGTTCAATTCCCAGACCTGGTGTCTTGAAAGTCACACTGAGTGTTTGTGCTGCATGCTCAAAATTCCAACAGGAGGATGGAGAAGAAGGGATTATAGCATGGCCATATCCCCCAAAGGGCCGATTGCTCACTTTCCCTCTCTGTCATAGACAAGCATACAGCCCTATGACAAAAGCCTAACATTAATTAATTAATAATTTATTTAAATGGACCCTTGAGCTAATTTGAATGAAGCTTTTTCTAAGCCTCAATCCCTTTATGTAGAGTACCTTTCCTCTGATCATTCTCTGTAATATTTTCTTACTTTCTTGTTTGCTCTCTTTCCGCCTCCCTGGAAGACTGGGAAGTGGAACCCTTTACATGTAAGTTTTGCACATTCTCTCTCTTCCTGTCCTTGGTGCCACTTGCTTGCTGGAGGGGCATTCAAATGCTTTTGTTTCCATCTATATTATTCTGTTAACCCTGTGGGCACAGATAAGAGGCTTGTGTGAGATGTAGTTTCCACCAACTGCAAGGGATGCTAGGAACAGCATTATTAGTGCTCTTTGTGTGTGCTTGTATCCTGCCAAATTTTGCTTGATACAACAGTGAAAGAGAGGAATTTCTTTCACTGGTGTTTAATATGTTGGCTAAAAGATAAAACTAGACCAAAGTGAAGTATGAAAAACAGACCTAAATTAGTGAGAGAGTCAATGGAGTCTAGAATGGAGGCCTGAACCTCAGCCATTTGCATGATCCAGAAGCACCAGGCAGCAATTGATTGACCTATCCTTACTGAAGTCAGCAGAACTGGCCCCTTCCATAGCGGAAGTCAGAGCATCTGTCATATCTACCAAAGCCGATTTTCAGCATCAGCTCTTATATAAAATCTATAAGAAGATATTCTGATTAATTAATTTCTTAGAAGCTATGGAACTTTTCTCTGTGATCAGCATGTATTTATTAAAAAATAATTTACTGCCTAATTGAATACAAATTAAATCAACATACACAATACTAACAGGATAAAAATTATTAATGCTAAAGATACAAGGATACTGTGGATTCCATTACTTGTGTCCTATTGCATTGCTGTTTCCACCAGACACATTATCTTCAACATATACCTTCAGGGATACAATGAGATGATGATTCATTTCATTCCAGATCACAGGCTTCAGGATGTCTTCACTGCCATTGCTGCTCTCATCTAGGACAGTAAGATTTCTCTCAGCTGGTGATTCTCTCCACTCCCATGGGTTATTTTGAGATAGTCTAAATTGCCCTTTCTTTGAAGGTCACATAAACCTAGTTTTTTTCAAATGCAATTTAAAATAATCTTACTAAGCATGCAAATGTAAACTAATCATTCTTTGAAACTAGAGTATTCCATTAGCTGCTTAATTTATGACTAATGGACTTATAGTAAAATTTTACCATAATACTGTCTTGGTAATCCATTTTTTTTAAGCTTAAGTATCTTTATTATCTAGTCATTTGGGTGTCTTAGTTTCTAAATCTTTTTGGAGATGGTCCACGTGAGTCTAATTTCATCCCAAAGGACAATGGAGTGAAGTTCATTTTTACAGTACTTTCTCCACCACTGATTGGAGTAGAACCATTCTCAGCTTTTACTTTCCCTTCTCCACACCGACTGGAGAGAGAGGGTGGCATCCCATAGTACGGTGGCTCCACAAGCAAGCTGAGGGGATGCAGAGAGGGTTTCTAGGATTCTCAAGTTTGGGGTATGACTCAGAGAGGCTGTAAGGTGTAAAAGCTTCCAATTAATCCTGATAAACTTCTCAGAAGACTTGGTCAACTTGATCAACCTCCCCAAGTCACCCTCTAGAGAATCACAAGAGGCTAGATTGGAAAAACATCTATAAAGCTAAGCCACCACGTGACTTTGGCTACCCCACTTAAAAAATAAGGAAACAGTGCTCAGTTTACCAGAAGATCATAAGGCCTGCTGAATAAAGATTCTGACCATAATTTAGACTCACAGAGTAGGAGGTTCAAACTATTTTTTAAAGCAGTAGAATATTTCCTTAACTTCTCCTAAAATTATTTCCTTGCTAGACAGTAGAATTTTTTTTATCCTTTGTGGTATTATTTAGATTTATATCCTGGCGCTTTATTTTGCCATCATATTACTCAGTGAGACTGAAGAGAGGACTGAAGAACTTGGCATGAAGTAAATCAATTTTCAATGATCCAGTCAGTGAAATTACCTGGGCAAATATTTTAAGCTAGACCTCACCAACCTGTTCTTAAAATGTCTCCTGCAGCCATTTGTTATTATGTGATATATAAAACAAATTTTCTATTTTAGAAGATAGAAAAAGAAAAATCATCAAATAATATATTACAAAGTCAAACAGGAATGATATTTAGTGATCTGAGCTAGTGAATAACTCCAGTAGTGTGCCTGAGAGCTGACTTTAAAGAATTCTCAAGGAGAATGTGATCCTCAGGAAGTGAATTGATCCATTTGTACCAAATCCTATAATGCCATACCAGTGGTAAAGAATGCCAATTTACTGGTAAGAGGAGAATTCGTGGTCTGGTGAGTTCTCATTATCAAGAGATGCCTTAAAGAAGCCAGCAAGTTCCAGCTTTCTGTGATATCTAAATCCCTTACATTCCTTTCCTGCCAGTCTTTGTCACCCAGATCATATCTCTCCAGTGAAAGGGAACTTACTACTGTGGTAGTGTCCTTATACGCTCTGATATTTTAGCATTCGTATCTGTTTACCTTTCATGTATGATTGAATGAGCTTCTGAGCATGCTGTATCTTGATGATTCCTTGGGAGGTGGTTATACTCACTTCTTGTATTCCACAGGTGTCTAAGGATGATCGAAGTGATATCGAATCTAGCTCAGACGAGGAGGACTCAGAACCTCCAGGGAAGAGCCCCCACACTGCAACAACCACCAATGGGACCAGTGGTACCAACGGGTATCTCCTGAGCAGCCCTTGTTCCATGGATGATTAATCACTCAAAACTACAAGTCCCGAACAAAGGGAACCGTTTGTTCCTGGAAGTATTTAATATGTTGTAAACGCAGTTCCTTTCATGATATCTCAGAACCAGAAACAAAAATTAGGATTATCAAAGCATTTTGAATAGTGTGCACTGCCATATGTCCTATCTGTGAATGAAGAAGAATTACCATTCTCTCTATGTAGGCATGCTGTATGTAATTGACACAAGGGAACAGCATTTGCATTTGTTCTGTCTTAGAATATTATTTATTTTTCATATTTGTTTGTAAATCTATGGACAAAAAGGATTTCCTCGCTCCTCTGACTCTCTAAGTTAATGACAGTGAAGGAGATGCTCCATCTGCTTCTTCTCCTTTCTATTGCTGTAGTCCAATATGCTGTGAGCATCAGCTTAATTTGTCACTTAGAACTAGCAAAACCCAGTGCAAGATTCTCATACAGCTCTGAGCAGATTTGCTTTCTTTGTGCTACAGTGCCCATTTTAAAATTGCCTCTACAGTCTCAGTGATCGGTCTCCCTGTGTAAAGTTTAAACAGGATGTACTAAGTTTTTAAATTGTCATTCTTCATGGTCAATTAGCAGCTCCAATTAAAGAGACTGGTTGTTGGAGGACTTTTAAAAAAAATTCTTTTGTATTAAATTGCTTTGAAATAGGCTTCATGTCTTGTGTACACGGCCATGATTTCTTCAAAGAGTGATTGCTGGTTGGGCTGTGACCTTGTAGGTTAGAGAGCCTCTTTTCTCTGTGATGAGATCAGTACTTTGACTCTGAAGGAAGACATTTGCTTAAGCTCATTGCTCTGAAGAAACCACTCTTAGTATTGAAAATTTGTCTCATGTTCTGGGAAAAAATAGAGATCAATTGATTTCAGCCAGGTTTTGCCACTACCCTTTTAACTAGTGTAATCGTCTGTCATATCATGGAAAAAAAAGAAGCTAGATCTATTTTGGGACAGAAAAGAGTTGGCAAAGATCAACTCCAGTACAAAGCACTTTATTGCAACTAGCTTTCAAGAAAAAGCCCTTTTAGTATTTGATCCTGATGTTTTTGTTTTGCTAAGCAAAGTAAAGCCAGTGGGAGAGAGACTGTTCTGCCCTTTGCTTTTCTCCTTAAACATAATCCAGAATGACTTTCCTGTTACTAGAAACTGACCAGCATTGCACTCTAAGTCCTTTTGTTTGCTTCTTCGAAGACTTTGTTCAGTTTCCAGGAATTTTTTTCCAAATGGAGCTATTTCCAGAAAAATAACAAAAAAATCTTTTGACAATGGCAGTATCAGGAAAATTACTAAGAATTCCGTGAGTCTTCTATATGGCAGTGTTGTTTATGTGCAGATAAGAAACATGTACACTTGAGCCAAAGATTGTATCTCTTTTCTTCTAACTTTTAGCAGAAGGAACTAAGAAGGGATTATAAAGACATATTTCATAAATTCTAAATAAATAAATAAATAATCTAAAACAGGAGTCCAAAACAGAACTATAGCAACACAAATGTAAGAATCAGGGCATAGTGAGGACAAAAGTCAAATACTAGAGTACATGTCCTATTCAGAACTACTCACATTCTATTTGTTTGTTTGTTTGTTTTTAAGTAAAATAAAGCTTTGCTGTTAATAGCAAGTTAATAGCTAAAAGAATATTTTTTCCAAAAAATTTTCCCTATGATATCAACTCTTTATGAAATACCTGGTATGGTTCTTGGTAATAATTGAAGAATTGGAAATATGTCTGCTTGTTTACTGAGAAACAATGCAACTAATTCTGAGAGCCTTATTGTTTTCTTTCACAAAATAGCATACGTCTAAGAGTGTAATTTGTGGGTGGTTGAGTACATAAGACCAACCATAAGATACCAAAAGTTCTGTTTAGTCCATTCAAATAGCCACTGAAATGCAGGTATATAAAAAGTAATTTCGAGCATATTGTAACTGAAAATTTTAAGAAGGAAAAAGTTTCTGCTCTTACCAACTAAAATTTGGAACACACTTACCTTGTTTTTAGTGCTTTCTGTGGTTGAAATGATCTAGGAAACTACGAGTTCACATTTGGATCATGTGACACTCTTTAGTGTAGAAGAATAATTTCATGATCACCTTGTAAAGTAACCACTGGGAGGGGTTGCATAAAAGGAAGTAAATTGAACCTGTCCTTAATCAAGGCAAATCTAAACAATCTTCTGATTTTCCTGAAGTCATTTGGAAGGGGAGCTGGAAATATTCAGAGCCTCTCTGACTGATGGTGTTAACACAGTCCTCTACATATCTATAGATTTTTATTTCATTTTACATTTTAGGGTAAAGAGTTCTTTTTGGCTAATCACAATGAAATTTTTAGGCTTCTTAGAGTTTACAATAATATATCTATTTACTGTTCTCCCACGGTTACTTGATAAGGCTCTGAGAAAAATATGTGAAGTATCTTATCTTCCACCTGTGCCAGACCATAGCTTTGGGAGTATATTTTGTGAGTTTAGTTATAGGTTAGTAAGAGTATTGGTTGACACTCATTAACTTAGCCTGTGTTGGTATCTCCTTCATCTTAGTCACATCAAACCTCCCAGGGTATGAGGGGTATGTAGAAAAGACTCTAGGAAGAGTAATATTTTATTCTCTAATGTTATAGCTTTTCTAGGTCTCTTAGTGGAGGAAAAAATAGAAAATCAAGTAGAATTTGGCCTCAGGTCAATAGGTAACAATGTATGATTGGTGTATGTATATGTGTATTTCTCCAAAAATGTGATTAAAACCAAAACATCACTGACTCATCCATGTTCTTCTCATAAAAATCATCTATCATGTACACTAGAAACTTCCCTCCTTGGATTGCAGTGTGGCCATCCCCCCTGGGGGTGGTATCTCACTTTTTGTCTGTCTTTCTCTTTCTCTAGTGAGCGCACACACCCTATAGCAAAAACTTCTCCAAAAGAAAAAGAAAAAAGAAAGAAAACTTCCCTCCCCCTTTGTCAGCCCGTGCAACTGAGAGTGGTGGGATCCTTTTAGCCTCTTGGCCACTAGTTAAATATGGTGGAGTCCAGATCATAAAGACCTAAGGTCAGCATATAAGCCAAATACAGTTCACATGTCCAAATTTATTCCTGTGAATATTGAGAGTAAGGGACATATCTGTATTTTGGATTACTCAAGCGTGTTATAAGAATGCAAATGGTTGCTGTTTCACCCCACATCCTACACCAGCTGATCTGCCAAACAGATGGTGTCCTGACGTACCATCAGTAATGTCACGGGCATCTGATAAAGATAGAGAAGGCACAAAACATAGGCAATAGGCAAGAAATGAGTGATCAGATTAACTACAGTCAACATAGTGGATGAAACTCAAAATACCCAGTTCTATTGCCAAACTATTCATGATGAGGATTTAATAGAGTCTGAATTTGAGCAAACTGAATGCCTTCATCTTGGTTAGAAAGGTTCTGAATCTCCCACTTAAGCTTCAAACCTCACTGTGTAGGCTAAGTAAAAAAGTGAGATTTCATTTCAGCTTACCAAAGTCTTTGATAAAGAGCTTTTTAGAGATAAGTTTATGGACACCTGTTATTGTCTCCAATCTGTTCATTATTTTGTATCAATACTTATGTCTGTCTCTTTCTTGGAAATGTTGATACCAAAGTTGCCTGAATATTTGTGTATTTTTTTTCTTAATTTGAAACATAAGACCTATACAGAATAATTCCAAAGGTGTTAAAGGATTCTGTTTATCAGTGTGTGAGATGATGTGTTTATATCCAGAGAGACTTTGAGAAATCCTTTGGAAGTTAAAGGCTAAATGTTTACATTCCATGTGGTATTTGAAGTCTTAATATGAGTCTAATATATTCATTAGCTTCTTCCCACATGCCCCCCCCCCTTGTCTTTAGGTAATTTCTACTTTGTAGATAAATAGCCTTGAAATGTTCCTTGCATCAAAATAATAAAAAATGAAATCAGATCAAAGTTAGTCTGGGGAAAGTGATCACGGATTCACCTTTGAAGTAATGTATATGGAAAGAGAAAATGCCATGAGGTCTGGTTATGGTACTTGTCATCTAGCACACTGACCACTGAAGAAATAATCATTAACAGTTCAAAATCAAAACTAGTTAAAGAAAATACATCCAGGTAATTTTTAAGTGAAGATATGGTTGTTTCCCTGAGATGGTTTAGCTTTTTCTGGGCCAAATGAACTTGTACCCTTGTTGAATTACCACACAGTAATTAGGACTGGCTGACCAGCTGCAGTTTAGTTCTTGACAGTAATATGCTAGAAAAGGGCTCTGTGGTTTGCCCTCATATGCACAGTCCCCTCCCCTGCCATAGAGGCATGCTGTCAATGCTAGGGAGACCATCCACTTTGCTGTTGGATCCCCTCTAATAAATACTCAGAGGTAGCATACTTGCTGCTGGTTTTCATGGAGAAAATTGTATTAGAGAACATAAAACATCATAAGTATTAGTAATAATATTTGCAGACACCTAAAGGAAAGCGTGAGTCTTTTCCAGTTATTTCTAACTTGAATTCAACTGGAAGCCTTTGAAAAGAATGCATTACCAAAGAGCGACAAGCTAAGACCCCACCAGGTCAAAAAAATAAATTTTCTGCAGTCAGATTGCACGTGGCATCTCCGCAAAATGAGGCCTTCCCGAGACTGCCCAGGAAGTGATGGGAGGGAACTATCCACCTAAAAAAATGGCCTGTTTATCTTACTCATTTACATTCCTTTCGGCCTCCTAGAACTCCTGATAATAGGAAGCTAAGATGTTTCTCATTTTTGGACTATCCATTTCCCATTAGCCTTTGGATCAGTTGTGGACCCACACTTCTTTCTTTGCCTAGTTTTGCTCCCCCCTGCCATGTATGTGCATGTTTTTCTTAACACAGGTCCTGAAAGCTTGGCTTCCTGTATGGTATATGTTATATGGTCTGGAAACCAGAGGAAAACAGCTGTTGCTATGGTTTCTGTGTTCAGTGGAAAATCAGATATCATTGAGAAAAAATTCTTTTTTTATCTATAGTAATTTTTAAAAATGACATTGCAAAGCTATACCTTAAAAATTAAGGATTTTTAAAGTCTAGCCACGAATAAGAAATTAACTCTGTAAGAGGAACAGATACCTAAAGATTCTGGCAACTTTAACATAGGGCTTCATTAATGTGAACATGCAACACATCCTCCAAGTTCGACTTCCCAAAGTTTCATAAAGCTCCTGAGCTCATGATTTTCATCAACTCTTTGTCCACATTGTCATTTATCTCCACGGTCATTTGTCATCCTGGAAGGGGGTGGTGGTTAGTATTTGGACTTGATTTATTTTTTTCAACTTGCAGTGAGAAATAGGATAGGTGACAAAACCTTTAAGACAATTCAGTGCTTAAGCATCTCTGTCAGAAATGGAATGATATAGAATTATTAGAATTATTTTACATATTGTTATTGTGTTTTGCTGATTTTATATGACAATACAATTGTTCATTCTTGATCTCTGGAAGCAATCATAATTATGAGGGTCATTTTGCTTTGGAAACACTTTCATAATAAAGCTAAGTATTAAGAGTGCCGTGTAAGTGGCCTTTCCTATGCGCGCTCACCAGCTCATGTTACCCTGGGTCAGTGCCCCACTTTGTTAAACCTTCTCTCACTCTTTTTCTGTTCTTCCTGTGAAACTTCCCCAAGCTGCTCTCCCTCAGCTCTAAGCTTATGTCATCAAGTATTTCAAAAGCTGTAAAAGAGGGCCGGTCAGTGATAGCATAGAACAGGTAGACCACTTGGGAAAGGTCCTGGGTTCCTGTCCTAGGATCTCCCTGAGCACACTGGACACACACACACACGTGTGTGTGTGTGTGTGTGTGCGTGTGTGTGTGTGAGAGAGAGAGAGCCTGTGATCCAGGTTGGCTGGAACAGGGGTGCATGATGCAGGTGCCTCTCTATCTCTGTCTTTCCCCTTCTCTCTCATGGAAGAAATATAATAAAAACTTTTTTTAAAAGACCTAAAAGCACTGAAAATTTCAATCCAACACCCTACCACCACCACAAGTTTTATAAAAGATCAAGCAGATATCCTATTAAAACATCTTATTATGGGTCCAGCATGGGGCCTGGTGGTTGAGGCACTGGGCTCCCACATGGCAGACCGTGGTTCAAGTCCCAGACACGGTAGCCCAAACATCACAACAAATAAATAAATGTTAAAAAATATATATATAAATATCTCAATAACAATCTGATTCTAAGCATGAGCTATTCTGATAAAAATTGCCAACATCTTCTGAGGCACAAAAGGTAGACTATAAGAATATGCATCAGTTTGGAAGCCATAAGCTCTTCCAGTTCTATAAACATAGGATAATCTAATACCATGAGCATCTCTCCCAAATAGACACGAGGCAACTTGGGTTCTCCCTTTCTGCAAGGTTGCCACATCCCACTGAGGTGAATGTTATGTCTGCCTCCTAATTCTGTTTCCACCAACCCTGCACTTGCTTCAACAGGAAGAGTGGCAGGACAACAAAGTGGGGGCGGAGGGAGGGTGTACCAGGATCTACCAGGATGCTGGGTGGTCCCTTAGAACCAGTCATCGCAGTGACTGAAACTTGAGACCCGTACTGTAGATTATCCCCAAAGTGCTATAGCGTGAGGAAACAAAAGTCACATCATTCCTCAACACTGAATTTTTTTAATTGCATACATATCATTTATATCATATTATAAATTTATATTATGTATTGTAGTAGTCCAAGTGGAACACGTAAGTCATTGTCAGATGGCTAAGATGGGGAAACTTAAAAAACAAAACAAAACAAAACAGGTAGCATGGACTGGATTGTAAAATCAAACCAGGAAGGGTGGAACACCAGAGGCTAGCAAGCCTAGGAAGACATTACCACCTTGGGCTGTAGAGGACAGTGAGAAGGGATGTCTGGAAGAATCCCCCCAGGGGTAGATGGAGCACATGCTCTGCTGTCTCTTTCCTTACTTTGCCATGCCACCCCTTGGCTGGACCCAGCTGAAGAGCTGCCAGGGTGGAGCCCAGGAGATGTCACCTGCAGAGTTGGACCTCCCACAGTGTGGAGCAAGGCAGAGACTAGATCTGGGAGAGGCAGACAAAATGAGAACCGAGTTTGCACCCCTAGAACCTCACATAGAGCCCGGCGTGCATCCGAATTCAGTACGTCTTACAGAAACAGGTGAACCCAGTTAGTAGAGAATTGAGAAGATGTGCACTATCAGCAATTGATGTTTCCTCTGTCAGGAAAGGAGAGGAGCCTGAGAAAGCACTTTGTCTCAGCTCTCTACATGCAGGGTTTCCCTGTGTGAGTTCCAGCTTCTCTCACTGGTGCTCTGGGCACAGAGCTGAGGGATGTGGCAGGATTCAGGTAATGACCTAGAGAGTTAATGAAGCAGAATTGGTGCATGAAAATAGTGTGGGAAGATCTAAACTTAGACACCGGTGACCCAGTGTTGAAGCAATTCTTTTGGTACGAAGTTGTGTGTGTGTGTGTGTGTGTGTGTGTGTTTTCTTTTCTTTTTTTCTTTCTTTTTTTAGACTTAAGAATAATGGTAAATATTTGCAAAGCCAGAGATAACAACAAAGACTCAGGTCCCTGACTGCATTATTTAATCATTCAAAAATACTTATAGAGAAGCCCCAAGGTGCCAAGAATTGTTATAGGCACTAAGGATACTCGGGCAGATATGCAGATAAGGTTCCTGCTTTCGCGGTAGCTTACAATCTAGTACAGGAAAGAAAGCAAGATAAAACAAAGAATAAGGCACTGTGTAACTTGTGTCATCTGGGAAATGCAATTAAAACAACAATGGGAAACAGTATGTAGTTTCCTCAAAAATCTAAAAATGGAACTGCTGTGTGACCCGCTAATCCCACCGTGGGTATTTATCCAAAGGACAGAAAATCATTCAGTTGGAGAGACATTTGCACATCCCTGGTTATTGCACTATATTCACAATAGCTAAGACATGGAATCAACCAAAGTGCCCAAAAACTGATGAATAAATTAAGAAACTGTGGCATGTATATGCAGTGGAATACTACCCAGCCATAAGGAGTAATAGAATCCTGTCATTTGACACAAGTGAACAAACCTACAAGATATAATGCTAAGTTAAATTAGCCAGGCTATGCACAACAAATACTGAATGTCTTCACTTAACACATATCGAATGTCTGCACTTTGTGCTGGAAACTGAAGTGTTTGAAGACATGGAAGTAAAAAGAGCAATGGTAGATTCCAGAAGCTCCAAGTTCAGGAGAAAATGAGCCACAGACACAAGAATACATGTAAAAAGGTGTAATAAGTTATGGAACTGCGTATCTACCACAGGTGAGTAAACATGTCACTGACAATTCAATGTATACTTACAAAAAGAAAAAAATAACTTGGTCAACTATTATCAAATGTGTGCCACATTATGTAATGTTCAATGTTGAAAAAAATGAATATGTCTATATCCTTGGTATAAGTATCACACACTATAAGCATGCTTTGAAAACCCATACTGTACTCTACAAAGAAATACAGTTTTTTTTGTAAACCAGGAATTATAATTTCAAAATTAAGCAATAATGGGATACCAATACACATGTATTACAGTAACCAAAATCCAGACCACTGATAGCACCAAACTCTGGCCAGCATGTGGAACACCAGCAACTCTCATTCATAGCTGACAGGAATGCAAAATTGTGCAGCCACTTTGGAAAACAGCTTGGCAGTTTCTTATAAAACTAAACACAATCTTACCATACTATCCAGCAATCATACTCCTTGGTAGCCTGAAGAGTTGAAAACTCATGACTACACAAAAACTTGTATATGGATGTTTATAGCACATGAATGTTTGTAGCAGCTATAAGCCACCAAGATATCCTTCAGTAGTGAATGGATAAATTAATGGTAATGTATCAAAGCAATGAAATATTACTCACGGCTATAAAGAAATGAGCTATCTCGCCATGAAGCAATATGGTGGAAACTTACATACATATTACTAAGTGAAAAGGATCTGTCCAAAAGTCTTACATATTGTATGATGGCAACCATATGACATTCTTTTTTTCTTTTCTCTTTTTTTATAGATATATAGATTTTTGCTATTGGAGAGATAGAGAACAGAAAGCAAGAAAATCACCCACAGGGGAAATGGCCATGACGTAATCCCTTCTCCCCCATTCTCCTCTTGGGATCTTGGGTATGCAAGTACACACACCCTGCATGAGTTTGAAGCCACCAAGTCCGGGACTCAACCTGTGGTCGACTATGTGGGAGTCCAGCAACGTAGCCATCGTGCCATCTGCTGGTCACCCAACAATATGACATCCTTAAAGGACAAACCCGGAGATTGTAAAAAAAGATAAATGATTGCCAAGAGTTGTAAGGGAGGGAGGAATGAATAGATAGTGCAAAGAGGATTTTCAGGGAAGTAGAGTTATATGACACTATAATCTTATGACCCTGTAGTCGTGGATACATGTCGTTATACAGTTGTCCAAACCCACAGAAGATAGGACACCAAGAGTGAACTTTAATGCAAACTATGGACTTGGGTGTTCATGATATAATGTAGGTTCATAATTTGTAATAAATGTATCACCCCTGCTAAGGAGGGTAAGTTTAGGCTATTAGTAATAGGAAACCTTTCAGAGATTTGAGCATGGAATAATATGATCTGATTTGTTGATTGTCTTTTTTTTTTTTTTTTTCTATATGGCAGGTGTGCTTGCCAGAAAGAGACAGAGAGAGAGAGTTGAGAAAGTAAGAAATCATCCTCCAGGGGGATGGTCACACCGTGATCCCTTCTCCTGCATTTTCCTGTGGGGATTTTAGGCACACATGCATGCATCCAGTGTTATTGCTAAGCCTCTGGGTCCAGGATTGGAACCACATAGTCCATCATGTGGGATCCAGCACCTTAACCTCCATGCCTCCTGCTGGCCATGGTTGTCCTTTTTGATAAAAGAAAGAATATGGGCTAAACCATGCACATCCTAACCATGACCAGAAAACCCTTCTCAAACTCCTAGAATGTTGGTGGTGCTGCAGATGTGGGGAAGGTATCACGTGACAAAGCAGGATGATGGGCAGGTGATGGGCACATGGCCATTGAAAGAAAGAAGTATTTTGCACTGCTGAAGATTCATTCCATAGGCAACAAAGTAAATCCTGAAAGAACATGTGAGGTGGACAGTTTTGCTGTAAGAACACTGAGATCTGTACAGGAAACGTGTCCAGATCCCTTCCAGGAAAACAGCTTGAAAAAATGTGTGATTGGCATTCCTCAGCCAGAGAACCTTAGGTAGGAGGACAGACTCCCTGGCTGAAAGTAGTCCTTTTTTATTGTTATTACTAACATCTTTCTTTGTGGTGTTCAAAGGCATCTAGTGGTCTGTGAATTGATGGATGAGAGCAATTTCTAAAACCCCTATCGGGAGGAGACAAGCAGTCAGACATGACAATACTCAGTCTGTAGATTCCCCAACTCTGATTGCATGCGAATGAGCCTCCAGGTGTAACATCCACTACCCAGCATGGTAGGAG